TGCCACATCTAACTTGGAAGGGCCTGAGTTTCCTTTCTTTTCCTCCTTTCTTTCTGTAAAAATAAAAATACTTATTTTTATTCTGAGCTACTTCTATGGAAGAAAAACGTGTTTGGGGTGAGTACTGAAGATGGGGCATGTTAGGTGTCTTCGTGCATGTAACTGAGGGCACTGTGTGTTTGGTTTTGTTTGTTTGTTTCATTCCCTTTCCCTGAAATGAGCGTTACAAACTTAAACAGGCCACAGATTATCTGTGGCATGCAGAAGAAGTTATTATTTCTGTGAATTAATCCTGATGAGAGACTTGTTTCAGAAGCTACTGTTTAGTGCCGTTTTTCCTCTTTGGCTTCAAATGTGCTTAATTTTGCAGGTTGCTTTGTGAGTTTTCAAAATGAGCTGTGAAGAGGAGGTCTGGGAAAAACTAGACGCTGAGTTTGATCACTGTGTTGTAGACATGAAGCCTTATGTTCTAAAACTGCAGCATAGGTCAGGTAAATAAGCTAAAATGTGCATGCAAATAAACACTAATGTTAAAATGGCTATGGCATAGACTAACGGTGGTTGTTAGTGCTTTGCTTGTAACACTGTTGTTAAACTAGATACTTATTGTCCAGTGTTATTGGGCCTGGTTCTGAGAGGGATTCTGCACAACTTCTAAAACTGATTTTTCTGGGTGTTTTTCTTTATGTTCTTCTGATGATGTTTGAGCTTATCTATTCTGTTATAGTTATGTAAATGTGATTTTTTTTGCGTAAATCTACTAATTCTTGTATTTATTTTTTGTACTTGGAAGTTCGATGCAAAAGCATTCCCAAAAAGCTATGTGAGTGTGAAGAGATACACATCTATTCATACTTTGTTTACTTGCAAGACTTTCTAGAATAATTGTATTCAAGTCATATGCATATTAAGTTATGTTGAAATAAATATGTATATTTGTTTAACTTTCTTTAGAACGTCAGAGATGTGCCCTATGGATTAAAAAACTGTGTGAACCTTCAGGGGCAGGTACAGGAATTGTGGGTAGGAAGAATCGGAATTTGTACGCAAAACTCCTGCTGCACATGTTGAAACGAGGTGTCCTGGAAGGTCCTTTTACTTATAAGCCCGAACCAGGACTACTGAAAACTTTACCTTCATATATGGTGAGTGTAACTTCTATGTAAGCAACGCTCACTTATGTATATTTTTGAAGGTACTTCTGACTGATTTGGTATGAATTCATGAAATTCAATTCTGAGTGAACTGAGTACAACTGTGTATGGTAAATACTGCTGTTTATTTTGTTTTGTGTATCTTTTAACTGGTGTTGCAAAAAGCTTCTTTGTGCAAAAACTCTCATGAGATCCGTCTTTTTATTTTACTTCCCCTCAAAATTCAGGTTCCAAGTTAGCTTATAAAAACAGGTGTTCAGAAGAAGGTTTTTTTTTTTCACATACGTAATTTGCGGATCAAGAAAAGCTTAGCTCAAGATCCCTTTATTATATTCTTTCAATGATTTAGGCAAAAATCAATGCATTTACCTGATGTGAACTTCAATAGCCTGCTGTTATTGCTTTTTGTCAGTATTTCACATAGATATTGTTAAGCTTGTGCTTTGTTTTCTGAAGATCTGAGTGCGCTGTGGCAAGCACAGGTATCAGCTTTAGTGAAAAAGTACAGGACTGTTTCTAACTTATTCCAAGATTACCACTACCGAAGGAAGTAGAGGAAACCAGTTATGCTTTTTCTTGTACAAATTTGCATGTTTAAGTAAGGTCATATTTGCACACTTTGGAGAAAGTATTGCTCTTTTTTTATACTATTGATATACTAGCGACAAATAATATTTAAGAGCATAAAAATATATTAGTATAAATATACTCTAATGTTCATTCTTTATTTTAATTATAGTCAATTTATTTTGATGAACCGAATTCAACAAGAGTGCGGAGTAGCAGCCCAGACCATTTACCTGACTGGGTAATGGGAGAACTAGGAAAAAGTGAGCCTAAGCATGAGGAATCATGGAGGGTATCTTCTAAAGAGGAATCACCACTTACATACGGGTAAGATTCTGTATTTGACTTCGCTTGATGTTTGTTGTATATGATTTATGTTGGATTTGATAAGCTTTGTTCATATGCTTGAGTTTGCGTGTGTTCATTTATTGCACTCATTCATGGACTCAACTATAACTTTTGTGCTTTATTTGTGCTGATGTATGAAAGGGGGAAAGTGAAACTAACTAGTGACAAAGAGGGTCTGTTTTTACATGGCCCAAAATAACTGGGATGCCAAGGGAGTAAGGGAGTGCGAAAATGATGGTGAGAGCTAATACCTAATATGAAAATAAAAAGAAGTTGTAACTCTCCCTTAGACCTCTTAGTGTGTGAAACACATTTTGTAACATTTTGATGCTTGTGTGTCCTGTATATTAGTATCATACGTAGTTTCAGATATCTTCTGTTTTTGGAATAATTGAAAGATGCCTATGCAGTGTCAGCAGAGGTGGTTAAAAATGACAATTTGAACTCATGTTTTTGTTCTCTTCTGGTGGGAGTTTTGCTCTCAGTATAAGCACACCCATGTTCTTATAGCGATTACACTTCGAGAGTTGGTGAATATACGTGTTGCCCTTTCACAAGGGATTATCACTGACTTAGTTTTTTAGTCACACTGGTTTTGTTATATATTTCACACTTTATTTCTCCTTCTGTCCTGAGGCTGAGCCTTTCATTTTGAAATTGTCCAGCTGTAGATTGGATAGATGACAGACAGGCCCTCTCTCAAGTTAAATTTTTTTTACAGATCCATGTTGTAAAATGTGAACCCATTTTTACCGACCCATGTTGTAGTGTGAAACCAGGAGAAGCAAGTGAATGTGTTAGGCGATGTTACCGGCTAAAAGAAATCTATAAGCACAACCTATGTGTATGTGCATCAACTAATGCGTCCTTAGATGGAAAACATAGTTGTGTCTAAGCCAACTTAAACTTGTGTTCGTAATCAGAAGTTCTTGTAGCCCTGTGGATTGTATAAAGCTGCATAGAAATAAAAATATATGCTAAACTTGTAATTTTTGCATATTCATTCCTGCATATATTTCAGCTGTTGTGGTTCATGGAAGTAGCTTATTTAATACTTATTTACTTGTTCCTATATAAAAGTGCTAGTTATATTCATTATAAAGATCATGAATTGATATTTACGTTTTTGAACAAGTTGTTAGTGCTTAGTAAACTTTGAAATTACATTAAGACTTTCTGCAATTTGCAGTTTGCAGAGAGTGCCAGCAGATGGTGATCTTGATACATTATACTTGTCTCTGTACTTGAGTGTGAATTCAGAAAGTTATACCCAGACAAACAATATATTTTAGTTCAAGAATTTTGAATTCTGTCCATGACTTAATCCTTACAGAGAAACTACAGCATTTTCTTAAGACAAAACAGATAATGTCAGTGAGAAATGTTTATGATCTTTTGATGTTTATTTAAGTCAAGATCCTCTCTTTTAAAAGAAATGGACTAGAGAAGAACTCATGTTCACAGTTAGTTTATCTTGCAGAATGGCTCTGGCTATGTATGAAGATCTGTGCTCTTTCATGGGGAGTAAATATTCAAATGTCATTTACAAGCTAGATTGGAAATAAGTAAGACTGAGCAAGCTTTGTACTAGAAAGGTGCATCTTTATTTTGAAACATGAGAGAATGTATTTTAATAGCAGGTCTGAGCAGAACTCTGGCATTTCTGACACTATAGGAAAATCTGTTTTTGTATGTCTAGTGATTCCAAATTATACTTTAAGAATGTTAGTGAAGGTTACCGTGTGGCTATGTCACCCCAGGAGGAACCAGTGAGTTTCCCTTATTTTGTTCTTGGTAGGAAATCATTTACTAGTCTCCTTTATTAGCAGCAAATTGCTTCCTTCTCCTATGCTAGTCGCTGTTTTGGCTGATGCAGGAGGTCATGAGCACCAGGGTTAGTGTGAAGACTCTGACCATCCTCTGCGCAGCTGCCATGGGATTAAAAAAAAAAAAAAGTAATCTTGTGTAACATGTTGGGATTTCTGAGACCTAGCTCATATTAGCAGAAGGCAGGAAAAGGGACCTAGTGGGTGGTACATGGGTGATATAGTGGGCCACAAGATTGTGGCTCATCCAGCACTGCTTTCAGAATCTCTGTTTTTAGAATCAAGTAATGTGACTTTCTTTTAAAATTGTCTCCCAAATAGAAAATACAGAACTGAAAATGTGGCTTCCCACACACCCTTTTCCAACTTAAAGACATCATAGGTAACCTCGGTGGCTTGGTTTTAGTTTACTGCTATTCATTACTTGCAGCTGGAACCCTCTTTAGCTGTTAGGTAACCTGCATGTTGCTGCTTTGTAATCCCTATCAGCACCCACAGATACTATCGCTATCTAGAGGTGCTAGAAGGGCAGGGATGCTCCCGGGTGGTGTCTCACTGTCCCCGGGTTCTGATGGAAGCTGGGCCAGCTTCACAAACAGTTTGTCTGTGGTTGTCTTCCTCGAAGTGGTTACTTTATGCTGTACATCCCACAGTTCTCTTCCTCTCCATAAACACTTACATTGTCTCAGTGTCTTTTGGTGTAACTTAAAGTATAACTTTTTGATGGGTGGGAAGAATGCAGGGTATTTTAATAGTCTGACTTGATTATAATAATAAAACTTAATTTTTATTTTCTTTTTGACTAGCTTTTCTTCTATTCCACTGTTTTATAGTTGAGAAAATTATGTTGACATGCCACTAATATAATCTCGAACTTGTTGCTTTGCCACATTACTCTTCACCCTGGCCTTTTAAATCCCTGCTTTTTGTTGAACTTTGTGATGTTCTTGCCCTTGTCTTCAGGTTTGTATGCCATGTAGTGGTTTCTGTATCTAGCCTTCTCATCTTTTTTTGGTATACAGACACACACACACACACACATATATATATATATTTATATATAATGTATGTATATTCTTCTCTGAATCACCAGACATTATCCTGTGCTGTCTCATAAGTTCAGCAAACTTGCTTCAAAAATATTCTCCCAAATCATCCCTCTCACTTAACCAATTTTAGAAGAGATTTAAGTTAAGAGTTGTCAGGTGATGTAGTAACTGAGAGAGGCAAAGAACACCTGTTGATATGTTGTGGCGTACAAGACTTCTCCTGTTTTCTTCTTTTTTAACAAAGCATTTAAAGACTTTTATTCACCTTTCTTCTAATGTGCTTTTAATAAGAATCCTTCAGAAACACATTTTTCCATTTTTCTTGTTCCTGTTATTTTTGATCTTTATATCTTGACAATTGTTTTACTTTGACTCTCTTAAAAGATTTCTTAAGACCTAGCATATACTGTAAACTGCTGAAAATTAATTTTTCTTCCT